CCCCAAAACCCCAAAACCCCAAAACCCCAAAACCCCTTGTATAAATATAATAATTATTAGACACTGTGGAGGTAAAATTTATTCCCTGGTTTTTATAGTTTAGAGATCCTAAGACCACAAATTGATGTCTGTAGTGTTAAATTAGAACTTTATCTGTGCCTTAAGACCAACATATCTACTGAATTTTCGATTACAACTTACTCTTTAGCTATATTATTGTATAAATTTTATAGTTGTATTTATTCAAAATCTTAACTAAATCTAACTTTGTTTGTAGTAACTTCTATATGTATATCTTTACACTTAACCCGAAGAAAGAGTACACTGAGATTGCTCCCTTGAGTAATTCCCTTGCATCAGACTCTTCCAAGCCAAATCCAATTGCTCATATCATGAAAGGAAGTTGCCAAGAATGTTCTGACGTCAAATGGGAATACTATCATGAGAAATATGGTAAATTTGTATTTAACTTTTAGGAAAATTATGCTCGAGGTAAGCAATTTAGTACCGGAAATTCACCGAATGAAGCTCGAAAGCTTCTTTGCTGCCAATTATGCTATAACTATGTCTTAATTTACTTACTTATAGTTGCATTGAGGTATGAATTTCTGCTGTAACAGTCTAGACTGAATATGATGGGAAACTGAAAGAATTTAAGAGTATGTTATCCAAATTTGTCACCTCTAAATTTACACTTCTCCTCAACAAGACCTCTCTGTAGATAAACAAAGCTATAAAGAAATCGAAGGAATACTTAGTGGATATTTCGAGAATATTCAGAAAGAAATAGAAAAAGCCTGGTAACCCTCTACGCCTAAAGCTTAGATTGTATTAAGAGACTATCTACTGAAAATGTAAGCTTAACTGATAGCTCTAGTGGTATGTTAGAGAAGGATATACCAGAAGAGGTAAGCCCCTATGATTACACACAGGAAAAATATGCCAGAAATGAGGAAGAAAAGAGTAAACTTGAACAAAAATAGCTTTAGAATCTGAACAAAAAGTTGACAAGAAGATTCTTTATGAACTTGTCCAAGTAGAATTCATAAGCAAGTTGATCGATGAATATGAGAATGTCCTCATTATGTCAAGAAATGATACACTTATTGGTGACAAAGGAGGTCTTGGTAGTTCTTTAACCCTAAATTTATAGCTCAAATAAAATCAAAATTATCAAAGATAGAAAGCCATTACAAGTTTAACACGAAGATTTTACCCAGAATTTCATCATTTATTCAAAATTCCACAATGGAGAAGTTGTATGAGATAGTCGTCGGTGAGATGGGATTAAATCAGCACATTGAGAGAGTTCCAAGTAAGAAATTACTCTAAAGCATAGTATTCACCCAATTTGAGAAATACGGTATTTCTCTAGATAACCTACAGAGGAACCAGCATCGAAAGTAGACCAGAAAGCCTTTTTAAAAAGGAGAAGCACAAAGAGTAACAGTTTCTTTTCGAAAAGAACTGTTTCTCAAAGCTCATTCAAAAGTACTAGATCAAACAACTCTGTAGGAGAGTCTTCAGCTGATTTATCTTTGATGAGATTGTCAGATTACACCATGAGTCCAGTGTTGACTTATGAAACTTTTGCTAAATATCTGACTGACTTCACAGGCAAGAACTACACTGAAGAGTGTGAAGAGGCTGAAGATCCTGAATTTATAGGTAAGATCATCTACAATCCATAGTGAGTAAACACTTCTGCTTCAAGATTAATTCTAAAGAAGATCCGAGTCTTATTCAAAGCTTGAGTCAATTTAAAATGCCTGAAATAAATTCACTAAGCATAACTAATTGTGGTGACTTACTCGATGATGTGAGACATTTGCTCAACACCTCTCTTCCGGATTCTATAGAATCTCTAAACCTTTACTGTAACTCACTTGGAAGTATGTCAGCTGATGGTGAAGAGAGCTGATCAAGCTCTGAGGATATCAAATCTGTAGACCGCTTCAAGCGCTCGGACCCTGAATGTGATTTTATTGAAGATCTTTGTAAGCAACCAAACTTTAATACTAGGTGAAACTATCAACATAAAAGTAGTCATAAAGATACAGATCTCTTGGATGAACCTTTCCTGTAAGAAGTTTTGTGCCTTAATCACTGCTGCTGACAATGTGGAAATAGTAAGAATACATTCTTTAATGTTAATAGATATGCATAAATAACAATAATGTTGAGCAGAGTGGAGTATTTGAGCTTCCTTACAAGTAGTTTTCTGTCTAATTCTTAGCACTTTTCCATTCCTCCACAACTTGGATCTATCAAACAATGCCTTATGTACATCACACTGAGGGTAAAATTGATGTATTATTTTAGAAATCTGATCAAATTTCTTTACCAGAACTTGGTGTTATTAAAGCAATTGAACTCAATTAATTTGTCAGGAAATCTTTCCTCTTCCAGAATGAAGTAATTTATTGATTTATAATATCGCTAGGAAACTACAATATCCAGACAAGATAAAGACAAGAGTTGAAGAAGTGAACCCATACTTAAGAATAGAATAGTTTTTTCAATATCTTTGCACTCAACAGGGGTTTTGGGGTTTTGGGGTTTTGGGGTTTTGGGG